TTTCGGCTGAGGCCGAATTTGAACTTACATCTTTTCACCACATTTCAACATAGTTTATTAATATATCATGTTGCAGACTTAAAGTTTTCATCAAGATTTACAATAATATGAATACAATTTAAACATAGTTACTAGAACTCATACATACAAGCGGCTTTGCCATCTAGTTTTAGCTAATTAATAATTAGAAAATTAAGCGAAGCAGTATTAAAATTTTCTCACTTTAATGAAATACATAACGCAACAACTTTCAGCCTCATTTCAATTTTACGTTTACATTTATTATATTTTGCAGTATTTTAAATTTATTATCGCAAAAATCTAGAAAATCAACGCTTAAATCAGAAATGAAACATTTAAAAAATATTTAGCGTATTATACTGACATTTCATTAGATCTAATTCCTACTCATTGTGTAAAATTAACATAGCACACATTTTTTGAACGTGACATGCGGGCAGATTTTTTCGATTTGGTGATTATTAAAAATTAATGGTATTGCATGATCTCCTTGATCTCCGGTAAAATTTAATTATAAGATTTTATTTGATTGGTCAATTGCTTGCCTTAACCATTAATTCGCTTATGAATCGCTTATGAAACCGTTTATGAAACCGCATAATAGTTATAAATCATCATTGTATTTAATTGGCCAATTACTTTTCTTAGCAGTAAATTGCTTATGAAACTGATCATAATATTCATAAATTATTTATAAATCATTAATATATCATTATGTATATCACTTAATTTTAATAATCACCACATTTCCATCAAAAATTTTCGCTCATATGATATAAAGTATAAAATTGATTTCTACTGTGCCGATCATAGGATGACTTTTATATGATTGGTTGTTTAAATGCGTTCTCAAGCACCTCTATCAATGAATTCAATGAAGAATCTGATTGGCCAGTTTTATCAGACAGACCATTCAGATTCTCTGTTGAGTCCATTGAGAAAGGTGCTTGAGAACGGTTTAAGTCAATTTAAACTTACATTATTTATACAGTTTAAAGTACTTTTAAAAAATAAACCTACAAAGAATAAATGAAAAAAAGTACATAGGAGATATTATTAGTGTTGTAGGACTCCACTGTTGAAAATAGTCAAAATCCCTTTTTGATTTAGAGAAGTTAGCGTTGTAATAGTCTAGTTCGATCTTTTAATAAGTTATTATAATAATAACTTCGCTAAAACAAAAAGGGATTTTGATCATTTTCAATAGTGGAGTCCTACGACCCTAATAATGCCTCCTATGTACTTTTTTTTTATTTAATATTTGTAGTTTTATTTTATTTTTAAAAAGTACTTTAAACTATATAAATAATGTAAAATTGAATTGGCTTAAGCAACAAACCAATCATATAAAGGTCATCCTATGACTGCCGATAGGAATGGCAAAACATGTAAATGATGTGTTTGTTTTGTGGCTGGATTCGCAACGGCAAATAAAATTAAAATACAGTTAGATCTCTCTATAATCACCCCTCTATAGTCACATTTGCTTATAATCATAAATTTTTAAAACCAACTTATATATAACACATATAAAATTTAACCTCTATATATGCACAAACTCTTTATAAGCACCAAATTTTTCAAACCAAGAATGTGATTATAGAGAGATTTGATTGTATCTGGTGATCAACAAATTATTTCGTTGCAGTTCTTTCGCTATGTTCTTTAATGATTAGCGATTATCTATTCATAATACCGACAAAAAATCAGAAGAAAAAAAAAACTAAAATTATTAAAAAAGCTCAAAAAGCAAAAGCAAACATAGATCGGAGCAGAAATTCAAGCACAAAAAGGACCCCTTTTTACTGGAATTTAATAAGTCATTTTAAATGGTTCTAAATTTTTTTTTCCCAACGAACATCTAGCATAGTACAGTCAGGGGATATACCAAATTAGGAATCGAAGATCTAGAAAAATCTGTGTGACGTTCTTTAATCCGATTGGCGCACATCTTTAATTCGATTGGCATATACTACTTTTTTTTAGCGTTAAAACGTGATTATTATAATACTCGTTTAACGTTAAAAAGTTTTCGAGCATATAATATTCGATCTCTAATTTCGTTAATCAAGGTTAATCAGCCAAGATCTACTCTTTTAATAAAAGTAAATGAGACTTTAAATCACACGTTCGCATATAATTATTTGCAAGTTAGAGCAAATAAAATTTTCGTTAATTCGTTAACTAATACACTTTTTTTTTTTTAGTGTCTACTTATAACAGGCCTATTGCAAGCACTCTCAAATGTCTTTTTGCAGATCTGGTTAAAAACTATGATCCGGTTGGTTTAAGGAAGTGCGGAACTAATGAATCACAAACCTGGAGGAATGCTGATACTGCGACTACAGCTAAGAGACTTTTGAAATATCACACATATATTCCTGAA